CTCAAACCCTTTGCAGCCTGACTGGTCCCCGTGCCTTGGCTTTCTTTTCAGCATTGTTCCCTGCATGTAACTAAAAGTAATACAGCTAAAGGGGTGCCTGGGTGGCTCAGTTGGTTAAGCGTCCATCTTCAGCTCAGGTCATGATCTCACGGTTTGTGAGCTCGAGCCCCGCATCAGGCTCTGTGTTGACAGCTCAGAGCCTGGAGCCTGCTTCGGATTCTCTCTCTCTCTCTCTCTCTCTCTCTCTCTGCCCCTCCCCTGTTCATGCTCTGTCTCTCAAAAATAAATAAACATAATTTAAGAATTTTAAAAAAAGTAATACAACAACATATTTTTAAATTCTGGATTGATCTTCCTGAGATTTGCAAGTCAATATGGAAGATTCTAGTGTATTTTATTTTACCATTCCTAATGAAATTTGTATATTAAGTAACTCAAGGTAATTAACATTTTATGTAGTTAAATTTCATGCATTTCCACTGGTGCCAATAAATAACTGTAATGGAAGGGCTGGTAGTATTATTCAGCATCCCACACCCCACTGCTTTTTGGTATGCTTTATTTTCTAAGTTATGTGTGTGTGTTTGTGTGTGTGTATGTGTGTATGTTTTCTGTTTGATATTATAATTACTATAGTTTTTATATCTTGGATTATTAGAAATATCAGTCTAGGGGTACCTGAGTGGCTCAGTTGGTTAAGTGTCCGGCTCTTGGTTTCAGCTCAAGTCATGATCTCACAGTTTTGTGTGTTCAAGCCCCACATCAGGCTCTGCACTGGCAACACAGAGTCTGCTTGGGATTCTCTGTCTCCCTTTCTCTACCCCTCCCCACTCGCACTGTCTCTGTATCTCTCAAAATAAATAAGTAAACTTAGATAAAGTCTATTAAATTGGCCACATTAAACACAACATTGCAAATAACTCATGCTAATGTGATAAGAGTTGTTATTTTAGGAATGCACTTAAAGATGCAATCTTCCAGCAGAAAAAATGTTAGGAAAAAAATGTGAGGCTATTTAATAAGTTACCATCAGTAAATTCTACAGTAATTAATAGACCCAAAGAAAACTCATGGCCAGCTACTACTAGCTAGAGGCTATTCATCTCTATTTCAGTGGTTCTACAGGTGTCTTTTTCCTAAAGCAATCAGGATTAGTTGACTTACAACTGCTTTAGGCAGTTATGATTTGGAAATTAGAATGCGGTGCTCACAGAGCATGCCATAAGAAATTGTTGTGATTGGCTGTGTTGGAAAGGAAAAGGAGGGAACTGGGGGAGTGAGCTGTCTCTAGATGTCCAGTAAGAAGATGACAAGCACAGGGTGCCTGGGTGGCTCAGTTGGTTGAGCATCCAACTTCACCTGAGGTTATGATCTCACTGTTCGTGGGTCTGAGCCCCATGTGGGGCTCTGTGCTGACAGCTCAGAGCCTGCAGCCTGCTTCTGATTCTGTATCTCCATCCCTCTCTGCCCTTCCCTTGTTCATACTCTCTCTCTCTCTGCCCCTTCCCTGCTTGTGCTCTGTTTCTCTCTCTCTCAAAAATAAATAAATATAAAAAAAAAAACTAGAAAATGACAGGTCTTCTCTCAAGTGGTAATGGTCCCTTGGTTTTGTTGCTTGGTAATGGACAGCTTAAAGATGCCAGAGACATCTGGTTTGAAGCAGTGCTTCTCAAAGTATGGTCTCTGGTACATGTGGTAATTCTGGTGCTTGAAGAATCTTTGGAAATTTCATTCATCTCATAATAATGAAGGCTCATTATGACTCTACGGAGTCCTAAGTCTGATTCAAAATGATGGTAATAATAATGTTGATAATGACTTTCATTGAGGACTTACTTTGTGCCAGGCATGGTGCTCAACACTTCATATGCATTATCTGACCCAGTTTTCACAAAAACCCTCAGAAGTAGGTATCATTATATTTTCCATTTTACAGATAAGAAAACTGAGGCACAGAAATAAAGAACAGATCCAAAGTCACAAAGTTAATTAGTGGCAGAGCCAGGATTCAAATCATGGTCTAACTCCAAAATATATGCTTTAAATATTGTGGTAGAGTCACATAAAATTTACTATTGTAGTCTGTTTTTTTTTTTGTTTTGTTTTTTTGTACATCACAGGTCCATTTATTCATGCCACAAAGGAAACAACACATCTGCATGTGTACAATGATGCTCCATGTTCCCATCGAACAGCTTGCTGAAGATAGCCAGACTGATATTCCACTTGATGTGTACTCCAAGTAAAGCTAGCTAATGATGACCATAAGCAGGTGCCAGACTCAAAGCTTTCCAAGCTTTACTTGTTTCATCAACACTCATGATTTTATAAGCAATGAAGCCAATCAACCCCCTTCTACCTAAATCTCCTGGTAAGCTTAGGTAAAGTAGGGCCTCATGAGGACCCAAACATTTTTAACAAGGATTTGAGGCATCTCAGTGCAGGACCCCTGTCTCTGGCTGCTCCAACCTCCACAGCCCAAAACTCAAAAAAGTTGCCAAGTCTGCTATTGTAGCCATTTTAAAGTGTGCAATTCAGTGTATTTAATACATTCACATTTTGTACAATCAACATTATAAATTCCAGAAAATTGTTATCACTCCAAAAGGCAACCTCATGCACCTTAAATGGTCACTCTCCATCCCCCCTCCCGTCTCCCCCTGGCAACCACTAATCTGATTTCTGTCTCTATGTATTTGCCTATTCTGGACATTTTATATAAATGGACATACAATATGTGGCCTTCTGTGTCTGGCTTCTTTCATTCAATATTAATTCATATTATAGCATATATTAGTACTTCATTCTGTAGACAAATATTAATCCATTGTACCACATTTTGTTTGTCCATTCATCCATTGATGTACATTTGGGTAGTTTCCACCTTTGGATATTGTGAGTAGTACTGCCATGAACATTCATGTACAAGTTTTTGTTTGAACACCTCCTCTCAATTATTTTGGGTAAAAAGAATAGGCTTTTGATCATAAATCTCTGCTGACTCCAAAAAGGAGATGACTAAATATTTTAAAATCTTCAGTCATTCAGCAAATACTTACTGAGAACCTAGAATACAACTACTTAGAGTACGAAGCACTGGGAATATAAACTGCAATGAATAAGAATGCAATGAATGACAGGCATCATCCCTATCCTCCTCGGGAATGACAGAAACTTGAATGAGTAAAACACAAACCTGGCAGCAGTCAGGGTTAAGGGTTCCTTTGCTATTAAAGGAAAATAAAAGCTGGTGATGACTCACCTGAGCAAGAAGCTCTAAGGTGATGCTTTTGAATCAAGAGACAAATACAACTTGAGAGCAGATTAAACAATAATATTATTTGTCATTTTATATAATAAATCTGAGGCAGGGAGTTTCCCCAGTAGGTTAAGTCATCAGTTCAATAGCACCAAGGAATTAGGTTTTCTCTACCTTTCAGCTCTGCCATTCTCATAGTTGCAACAAGGGACAGTAACTCTAGGCATTATGTCTTCCTCACATAACAAGGAGCAAAGAACAGACATGGGAAATAGCAGACTCCTTCTCAATCCCTTTTTAGATATAAGAAAAATGTTCTTAAGAATCCTCCAGAATACTTCCCCTCAGGGAAGATTTGCACCAAGAGCCTATTCCTACACCAATCACTAGCAAGGGAGTGGAATTAGAGTGCATGATTTAGGATTAATCAAGTTTGAGACTGGTCTGGGGCCCAGCTCCACCTGATGTCCTAACAAAATACAGGTTCTGGGAAACTGTAAGAGGAAAAAGAAGGTGTGGGATAGGCAGCCAGGTGCCAGCCAAAACTTCCTGGAGGACTGCCCAGTTCAGAGTTCTCTGAACTCCAGTTCTCAGTTGAAAACAAATAAAACAAAACCTCAATATGTCCAAAACCGAACTCATGACTCCCATCAAAATGGTCTCTTCCAGTGTTCTATTTCTTTAGAATGCACCACCATTCCAGCTGCACAAGCCAGAAATAGGAGTCATCATAATCTCTCCTTTTCCCTCAACACCCATATCTATCTAATGCATTACCAAGTCCTGTTGATACAACCTCCCAAACAGCTCTTGAATCTATGAATCTCTTCACCTCCATTGCAACCATTTAAATTCAAGTCACTGTCATCAACCCTTCTCTTGAGTTCTGCAACAATCTTTTGCTTGGTCTCCTTACATCCAATCTGACCTGCCTCCAACCTAGTCCTTCACAGTGCAGCTAGAACAGCCTTTTCAAATACATCCTTAGGATTAAAATTTGCTTTCCATTGCTTCTAGAAAAACAACAACAACAAAGTAAGACGGTACCCTAGCTCTTTGTAATCCAGTTATAATGGTTTCCTTTGAGTTTCAATGGGTTGTGCTCCATCCCACCTCAAGACATCCTTATTTGTGGTTGCTTTTGCCCTTGTCATCCTTGGTATTTCGGTTTAACTGTCACTTCCCAGGGAAAGCCTTTCCAGGCCTCCTAATTAGGTCAGGTCTCTGCTACTGACGCGTAGAAAAGTCTGTTCCTTTCCTTTACCGCACTCTTCTGCCTCTAGACTAAGATCCGCAAAAACACAGAGCTAGTGTTTCTTACAACATAACGGCTGGCACATAGTAAGTGTTCAATATATAGTTGAATGGCTAGATGAATATATCAACTTCAAAGAAGAGTGGCCCGTTACGAATGTGGAGCTAGTGCCGGAGAGAATACAAATAATGGCTGTAACCCACCCGAACAGCATAGCCTCCACGACTACAAGAACTCGTTGCTCCTCCCAGAAGATCCGCCCCCTGTGACCCTCCCAGAAGCCCCGCCCCCTGTGGCCCGCCCCTCTCTGCTGAGTCGGGGGGAGGGGCATAGAGGTCGCGTGACGTGACAGCCGCCGGCCGCTGATTGGGCTTCCAGACCCGGCGGCTAGGAAAGAGGGCGTGTCCACGTGCGCTGATTGGCTGTCGGGCGGCGGCTGGGTGGGCAGCGGCGGCGGCGGCGCGGGGGCAGGCGCCGGGAGGGACAGGACCCGGTAAGGCAGGGAGGGCGGTAGCGGCGGACGGGATGGGTCCTCGCCGCCGGTTTTGCTGAGACTCCCTCGCGTGGGCTGCCAGCGGCGGGCCCGCAGTGGCCGCGGCGGCATGAAGGGCGCACTGGGGAGCCCCGTGGCCGCGGCCGCCGCAGGCGCCGCGATGCAGGAGAGTTTCGGCTGCGTCGTGGCCAACCGCTTCCACCAGCTGCTGGACGACGAGTCGGACCCGTTCGACATCCTGCGCGAGGCCGAGCACCGACGCCAGCAGCAGCTGCAGCGCAAGAGGCGCGATGAGGCGGCGGCGGCGGCCGGGGCAGGCAACCGCGGCGGCAGGAGTCCGGCCGGGGCCTCGGGCCACAGACCTGGCGCGGGCGGCGCTCGGAGGGAGTCCCAGAAGGAACGCAAGAGCCTCCCGGCCCCTGGCGCGCAGCAGCCGGACAGCCCCGGGGGCGGCCCGCTACCACCCGGTACGTGCGCCCTGCCCAGCACCTGGGCACCCCCGGGTAGGCGCAGTGGGCGGGAAGGGAAGGAGAATGGGGTCATGGAGGTCACCCCTCCTTGGCCGCCCCTCGACCCCCACTGTGCGACTGGGATCAGAGGATCCTGATCCAGAAAGGGAAGGGGCTCCTGGGAAGGCTTGGGTTAAGTTGAGGGGTCCTTGTGGCGGCAGAAGGTAGGAAAAGAGAACGGGAAGGGGTGTCACGCCCCTTCTGGCCTTTTCCAGCCCCTTGTTGGGGGGTGGGGAGCGGCGTGCTGGCTTGGAGTAGGGGTCTCAGAATCCCAGAACTGAGCCATTACAAGTTGGGCAAAGTTGAGGGATACTGCTGAGATGTTGTGTGTCGGATAACTGGGGTCGCTACCATGGGGCGCTCAAATCTAGAGCTAGCAGAGACAGTCTCCATCCTCCAGCCCAACCTGTGCAAGATTCAGATCGGGAGGTCAGAAGAGAAGCGTGGTGGGAACGAGGGAGAGTGAGGAAGGAGGGCGCACCCGGCAGCTGGAGGTGGTGGCGAGAGCCCAGGGTGTGTGGAGAATCGCGGGGGCTCGGGGCTCGGGCTTCTGTGATGGAGCGCAGGCCTGGGTGACCGCGGGGGAGGGCTGTGACGTCAGGGCCGCGAGCCGAATGCGGGGCGGGGGGGCGGACGCGGGATCCCTGGCTCCTGCCAGGCTCCGTGCTTTCACCCCATCCCGGTACATTCCCCTTACAGTAGCTTCCAGCAGACAGTCGGCGTCATTTTTCAATACAGCATGTCGTGTCGTTGGAATGTGTAACTTGGCATTAATTCAGGCTACTTTAAGAAAAGCGTTTTTAACCTTTAATCCTTTTAAACAAGAATATTCAAAGTTCCCCACACCCTGTTTAGCCAGGTACCACTGTCCGCATCAGGGTACCTAAGAGCCGTTCATCACCCGAACTGCATCAGTTCATAACCTGTAAGACTCCACCTGTGTTTCCTCTGTTTTCCTAAAATAAAGCAGAGATCCTAAGGTTTGCTTTAAAAGAGTGTTAAGATACGTCTTTCAACCACTTGAGCCAGTGTTTGACAATGTATTCAACTGGGCTTTGCTGGCTTATTCCTTGCTTGATTACAGTTGTGCATCCCAGCCCCGAGATTACAACTCCTGATTTAAGTGTTGGGTCTTTGACTTGTGCAGCTAGGTAATGTTTACTTTACTTTTGTCTGTGAAAACTTCAGTCCAGCTAGCTATATCACCTGACAATCAGAAAATCAAGTCACTATAATAAAGATAGAGAAAATTATTTAAATGCTTTTGGGTATCTCAAGACCCCATGCTAGTAGGCCAGTGCATTTGTGAGCCTATTTAAACAGTGAATGAGACTTGAGATATATTGTACATTTTGTGTTCTGATTTTTCTTATAAATCTATTTTGATATAGTAATGAAAGAATTGAAGAAGGCTAAGCTTTTCCTCTCCCTTTGCTTTTTAACAGATGGAAAATGTTTTATCCTTTAAAGGAGTGTGAAACTGCAGTAATGCTATCTGTTAATATATTACTTTTTAGTCTTTTTAGTATTAAAAATCATGCGTTTTTGTCTTATAACAAAAATATAACATTCTTATAAATTTTGAACAATTCTGAAATGTATGAAGTAAAGCAAAAATCTTCTATTTTTATTACGAGTTAACACCTTGGATTTATGTACATACAGAGCTATTTCTTTTTTTCTAAATTTAAATTATATATAAACTGAGTTGCAGCCTGCTTCCTTCACCTAGCATCATAATCTAGTGGATTTATAACTTTTTTTGTCAGTTGTTCATGATCCAGATGATCTGGCTTTTGAGATCTGTATTGAAGATTTTTAGTTAATATTGTAGTTAGGATGGAAGTTTTGTCATCCTGGTTCTTTTTCAGGTAAATGTTATTTCCGGAACAAACAGCTCATTAATTTACATTTATGTAGTTACTGTACTAAATTTATAGAGAGCTACTCTTTCAAGGTTTTGTAGCCCTAATTGATATGCACCTTTCTAACATTCAAAAATTTTAATTTAGTTAGAATATTATAAACGAACGCTCAGTGTAGAGAAGAATCAAAGTCAAAACATGTTTGACATATAATGGAAACATTTTTGCATGTGGATCTGGAAATAATAAGATTTTCCCATGGAAACAGGTTTTTAATGCCCTTCAATATTTAACAATATGTGTAGACCCTTGGGTGAGCCTTTTTTATAAACTCATTCCTGAAATCTACAGAGGCTATTGCAGCTTTTCTTTTTCCTAGCCTTTCAGAATTATTGTCTTTGAGTCAAAGCTCAACTTTGTTTTGTAGGAAATCTTACTGTAAATTTTATGGTATTCTGTCCCTTCATATGGGCTTGTGTTTGGATCAGTGATCAGACAGGATGTGCCAGCCTTTTATTGGAAAGGGCTAGAGAAATTCAGTGCTTGCATTATCCACTTGGAGCTGCTGACCCAGCAGAGAAAGACAAACTAGGTTCAGTTGCAATCTTGATTGCTTAGCACTAAATTGTGGGGGGAAACTGGACCCTTTTATCTTTGGGTTTGGGAGAGACAAATGTTTGCAGTATATTCATAATTATTCCAATAAATATCTAGTTATATTTAATGTTTTTGGTTCTTAAAAATTTTTTTAGAGTTTATTTATTTTTGAGACAGAGCATGAGTGGGAGAGGGGCAAAGAGAGGGAGACACAGAACCTGAAGCAGTCTCCAGGCTCTGAGCTGTCAGCACAGAGCCCGATGCGGGGATTGAACTCACAAACCGCTAGATCATGACACGAGTGAAGGCAAACGCTTAACCGACTGAGCCACCCAGGTGCCCCATTTAATGTTCTTTTAATGTTTATTTCTTTTGCGAGAGAGAGAGAGAGAGCATGTGTGTGTGCACGCACATGAGCAGGAGAAGGGCAGAGAGAGAGAAAGAGAGAAACCTGAGCAGGTTCCCTGCTGTCAGCACAGAGCTCCAACCAGGGCTTGATCTCCTGAACCATGAGTTCATGACCTGAGCCAAAATCAAGAGATGGACACTTAATCAATTGAGCCACCCAGGCAACCCCTATTTAATTTTTTTAATAAATTAATTTATTTTTTAAAAGTTTTACTTATTTCTGAAAGACAGCATGAGCAGGGGAGGGTCAGAGAGAGAGGGAGACCCAGAATCCGAAGCAGGCTCCAGGCTCTGAGCTAGCTGTCAGCACAGAGCCCGGCGCAGGGCTCGAACCCACGAACTGCAAGATCATGACCTGAGCCGATGCCGGATGCCCAACTGACTGAACCACCCACACTCCCCTAAATTTTATTTTTTAAGTTTCTACACCAAAACTTTGGAAGAAGCATAGAGCCGTATGCGGGGCTTGAACCCACACACCATGAGATCATGACCTGAGCTGAAGTTGGACACTTAACTGACTGTCCGCTCCAGTGCCCCAGGTTTTTTAAAAAATAGGTTATAAATAGGAAATTTAAAGCTGTTATTAAAATACATTTTTGTGTTGAAATAAAAGTATTGTTATTATTGACATATCAGCTGATTGCTGTTATGTCATACTCTATTAGAGTTTTCAACTTGTTAGATAATAAATTTCTGAAATAACATTTTCTACCTAACATTTCAAATTTGATCCCTATTAGTAATATACCTGCCCTCATTTGGCATTGCATACTCACAGGACAAGTGTCTCTCTCTGTTTTGCTTCTGCAAGAGAAACATAATGATCTGTTATGAGAAAGATGACATCTTTCCCATTTCTCAAACACGTTACAGCTCAGATTGTGACATCAGTACAGGATGCAAATTGGATTTAAGCATTTCTAGGTTATGGGACATTAATTTAAGGTTGAACTTAGATTTATTGTGGAACTTTTCACATTAAAAAAGTACTTTATGTTACCACAGGTAATAAATTGCACAATCTTATGTTAGTGGTGTCACAGACTTGACTTTTGCTTTAAAATGGGATAAGTAAGATACTGGAACTATGTTACCGTGTACATGTGCCCAGTAAAAAGCTCAGGTAGAAGCTATTCAGTAGGAAGACAGAAAAATAAATGTAAACATATATTCCTTAAGAGTCATATATATCTGTCTAAGAGAGGAATCCAGGACTTTAAGAATTACTCATTAATTCACATACATTTAATATTTTGATGGCTCACTAAGTGTCCATCAACAGATGAATGGATCAAGAAGATGTGGTTTATCTATACCATGGAATACTACATGGCAATGAGAAATAATGAAATCTGGCCATGTGTAGCAACATGGATGGACCTTGAGGGTGTTATGCTGAGCGAAATAAGTCAGGCAGAGAAGGACAAATATCATATGTTTGCACGTATAGGAGGATTAGGAGGAACTTGACGGAGGAACAAGGGGGAGAAGAAGGGGGGAAATGGTGGGGGAAAGGGAGAGAGGCAAACCATGAGAGACTCTTGAATGCTGACAAAAACTGAGGACTGATGCATGTGGGGGGGAGGGGGATGGGCATGGAGGAGGACACTTGTGGGGATGAGCACTGAGTGTTACGTGGAAACTAATTTGACAATAAACTATTTGTAAAAAAAAAAAAAAGTATTTTGATGGCTCAGTTGGTTAAGCATCCAACTTTGGCTCAGATCATGATCTTGTGGTTTGTAATTTCGAGCCCTGCATCAAATTAGGCTCTCTGCTGTCAGCGCAAAGCCTGCTTTAGATCCTCTGTATCCCCTGCCCCTTCCCTGCTCGTGTTCTCTCTCTTTCTGTCTCTCAGAAATAAACATTAAAAAAATATTTTGATAGCCATACAACCAATGCAAAGGTATAAATGATACCAAGGAAAATCGAAGCTACTGTAGTAATAATGGTACATCATGTTTGAGATGGACACCTTTTAAATGTCTTTTTTTAAAAAAAGAAAAAGAAAACGCATTTTTAGAAGATAATTTAAGAAGTGATAAATAAAGTTCCTCACAACATACTTACCAAGTGTTAGCTGCCTTCAGGTATAGACTCTGCTTAAAATTTTTAAAGCATCAAAACTAGAGAGGAGTAAAGTGAGAGGGAGGCCTGGAGTGACCCTGGCTGAGTGCTGGCCCTTCTGTGAACGAGAGATGCCCCCTTCCAGTGCTGACTGTCCCTCATATGAGTTAGTAGATAGCAGTTTGGCCTCATATTGAAAGGTATTAGTAAATCCCATCAAAGATCAGGAGAGCAGAAAAATCTGTTTTCAAAGAAAAAAGATAATAGCAGTACAGAACTGTATTTAGAAAAAAAAAACCTTAGTAGCCAATGATAAGCCATAGTTTATCTGAAAGTACAATCTGAAATATAGGGTATTTATCCTTTAATATTCTGTATGGAGTGTAGCTACCATATTTTAATAAAGCTGCTGTTGATAACCTTAGTTAATTTAGCAAATGTGTATAACCATAGCTGTCATAGTCATTATGAAATATCAGTAATTATAGGTTAGTTGGTATAGTTTATTTTATATTTTCTAGGACAGAAGGGAGAGAAAACATAAGAGTCTTAAAAGTTTTATGAGGAAGTACAGTTGACCCTTGAGGAACTGGGGGGTTAGGTTGAAACCAGGTTTCAACCCATGCACTTGGAAATCTGCATATAACTTTGGACTTCCCAAAAACTTAACTACTAATACTACTGTTGACTAGAAGCCTTACCAGTAATATTTGATTAACATTTATTTTGTATATGTAGTGTATATTCTTAGAGCAGATAAGCTAGAGAAGAGAAAATGCTATTAAAATCATAAGGAAGAGAAAATACATTAACACTACTGTACTGTATCTAAAACATTCTGTAAGTGAGCCTGTACACTTCAAACCTGTGTCGTTCAAGGGCCGTGATGATATCCACAACTTTTTTCTTCTCTGAATGTTTCCAAACTTCCTGGATTTTCCTGTGACGTTGACTTCTAGAAAAGTGGAATTTAAAACTCCCTGTAAATGTGCTCTCATGGACCTGGGGTCCCAGCTGTCCCTTCTGATTTGGCAGGCCAGAAGCGAGCTCCCAGAAGAGGGGAGCAGCAGGGATGGAATGACAGCCGGGGGACAGAGGTGACACTTGACAGAGCAGAGCGGAGATCCTACAGGGAATATCGACCCTATGAGACTGAGAGACAAGCGGACTTTACACCTGAGAAGTTCACGGATGAAAAGTACGTATGGCAGACCTTGGTCAGGAAGGTGGGGAGAACCGGGAGGGTTTTACTAGAACTGCTAGCTTTTGCAACCTTGGCAGTCACTTTAGGTGACACATGAAAGATCTTCCATTTATCTCATAAGTGACCTTAAGTCTTGGTTCAGGAAATGATTGTAAGGTGAAAAACAAATTATTTATTGGTAACTACGATTTATTGGTAACCTGTAAAAAAAAACTACACAGAAGTCTGTTAAACAGGTGAAATTTTCTTTTGCAATTGAAGCTACGGATATAATTATGGTTTTGGTTTAACTTAGACTACTAACAAATTTAAACAAGTTCCTAGCCCAGTGGTTAAGTCACTTGGCTATCATGACATTTTAAGAAAAGTTGATATAGTGTATAAAACCAGTTTCTAGCTTCCATACCTTCCTCTAGAAAGTGCTCTGACCTGGAAGGTGGTCTCGGGCTGATGCAGCCTGACCCCACACCTGAGTGCTGAGGCAGCAGGTGGGCCGCCCACACCTGCCTGTGCACATGTAGCGGTTCTTTGTGTCTTCTGCTTGGCCCCTACACGACCGGTGCTTAGTGCTGGAAGTTTTTGTTTAATTACTCAACCTTCATAGCACTGAGTTTAGATTAAACTGAAACAACTAGTGAATCACATTTAAAGGAAAATGGTTAAAAAAAAAAAAAGGCTAAAGGAGAGACTGGAATAGTTATGTTGACACTATTAGTCGTCAACAGTTTAATGTCAAGGGAGCTGTTAATTCCCCGAAGTATTCCAACTTCCTGACTACTGATTCCATTTAGGATCCTGGCTACAAGTTTTAACCAAAGGATGTGTAAAAGTATGCCTATTAAAACACCACCCCTTCCCCGAAAAGACCCCCAAAAGTCCAGTAGCTCAGTCTGAGAAGGCTGAGCAGGTGGTGACTTCCATAGATGCATTCCCTAGAAATTACATATTGAGAACATCAAGCTGGTGTGTCTGCCACCATATTGGAGGGTGAGGATTAGAGAAAGGCTTAATTCTGCTATTTCTGGTGAGTACTTCAATTTTGCTGTGTAATGGCCATAGTCTGCTTGCTTACAGAAAGACTTCTGGATCAGAGCTGCTTATTTGGGGAAGCATTTTTTTTTTTTTCTCACTTCAGGGATTTTTTCTGTGGAAATAAGGAAATTATAGCTCAAAAGCACAAACTCATGTTTCTAGCTTTTTTAGTAGCAAAACTATGAGTCTTTTAAAAGGATAAGATGAGTATATGTTAACACCAAATGACATCTATTAAGTGAAATCATACAGGAGGGTCGGGGTAGAGTGGGATATGGGATTATGGAGGGATTTTTCTTTTTTCTTTAAAAATAACTTCATATTTATAGAAAGTTGCAAGAATTCTACACAAAATTCCCGTATACACTCATCCAGATTCCCCAGCTGTTAACATTTGCTTTATCATACCCCCTCCCTCTCTCTTCTCTCCCCTTCTCTCCCCTTCTCTCCCCTTACACACAAACACACCTTTTTTCTTTGACATTTAAGAGTAAAGTATAGAAATATCTCTTTATCCCTAAATACTTTAAATGTATTTCCTGAAAATATGGTACAATTATCAAACTCATGAACCTTGATACATTATTGTAAATCTCTAAATCGTGTAATCTACAGAGTACTCAAATTTCACCAGTTGTCCTAATAATGTCCTTTTAGCAAAAGACAATAAAATGCCTGGTTCAGGATCCATTCCAGCAATGTGCACTGCATTTAGTTGTCTTTCATTTGAAACAGCTCCTTAGTCTTCCTTTATCTTTGACTTTGACATTTTGGAAGAGAATGGGCCAGTTATTTTGTAGAACAGCCCAGAACCGAGTTTGTCTGGAACAATGTCATGCACTTTGGCAAGAATATAACACAAGTGAGGTCTTCTGTCCTCAGTGTGTCATGTTAGGTATATGGTGGGAAGTTTTGCTTTCAAGGAAATTTGAAATTATTTTTGATAAGTCATGTGCTATCAGAAAAGATATTTTCCTTAGTTTCTTAAAAAGTACTCTTCTATTAATAAAGATCCATAAGATAATTTGGATAATTTAGAAAATGCATACAATTATAAAGAAAACTAAAACCACTATCTTACCATCTAAGGTGATTACTCTTAACACTCGGACTAATTGTTTCTTTTCTTTTTTATACATAGATAATACTTAAATATTAGGATGATAATGCATGTATACTGAGTCCTTTATATTCTTTCTTCTCCATTTGATATGGCTGAAGTCTTTTCCATGTCATTAACAATGTTTAGTGAACATTTTCTTTTAAATTTTTTTGAAAGAGAGAGAAAGAAAAAGAGAGAACATAGGCACACAGGGAGAGGCAGAGGCAGCAGGAGGGAGAGAATCCTAAGCAGACTCCACACTCAGTGCAGAACCCTACGTGGGGCTTGATCACACAACCATGGGATCATATCCTGAGCCAAAATCAAGAGTTGGACGCTTAATTGACTGAGCCACCAGGTACCCTGTCATAGTTTGGTAAACATTTTTAATGGTTCTGTTATGATCTGTTGTGGATGTGGTACAGTGTAATAATTTCCTTAGTGTTGGGCCTTCCCTAGATGGGACTTCTAGAAATGGTTCTAGTTCTAGTCCCAGTTAGGGACATAAAGCAGTGATTTTCAGCTGGGTGTCATATATTAAAACCTGGGACCCAGTTTGTGCTTCAGTGCAAGTTTGGATGGGTGCATGTAATGTGAAAACAAATTTTGCAGTAAGGGGGGGGGGGTCTTATGTTACATAGTAACTAATCACTGTCTTAGTAACCTGTCCATTTACTCTGTCGCTAATAATCTAGAGCATTTCTCCTAGCTCTTTCTGCAGAGTTTAATATAATAAACTTTGATCTTTGTTTATTTGATAGTGAAAAATGGTGTCACTGTGCATTTCTATGATACCTATACATGTTTATTGGGCAGAATTATTGAATCTTGATAATCTTAACAGACTGTCTAATTCAGTCCTCTCAATTTATGGATGAGGAAACAAAGACCCAGAGTTTCAGTGATGGGTATTGTGCTCACAGCCAGCTCATGTGGTTTTTATTCCACTAAGGCAGAACACATATTTTCACATCGAAGCAGTCTCATAAGTGGTGCTGGGAGTAACTGTCCGTGTGGCTCAGGTGCAGAGATCAACCAGGTCACTGTTCTTAATGCAGCAGGAATTTTTCTTTAGGCTCCAAATGATGAACTTAAGTGAACTTTTTGAACATGGGCTATTAGGGAATTAGCCTACCTCTGTCTGGATACATTTTAACTCTTCCTTTGGCTCTTCTTGAAATTTAATGCTGGTCGTAGAGAGTCTGTTGCAGTTCTGAAAGAATCACTCAGCTTAATTTTTTTTTTCTTCTCATATGGAAGCATTTGAGAAAATTTGGGGTAAAATATACAAACATAAAATGTATCATTTCAGGGGCGCCTGGATGGCTCAGTTGGTTAAGCGTGACTTCAGCTCAGGTCATGGTCTCATGGTTCGTGGGTTCGAGTCCCACATCAGGCTCTGTGCTGACAGCTCAGAGCCTGGAGCCTGCTTTGGATTCTTTCTCTCTCTCTGTCTGCTCCTGCCCCACTCTCATTCTGTCTTTTTTTCTCAAAAATAAATAAACATTAAAAAAATTATTTAAATGTATCATTTTAACCACTTTTAAATGCACAATAGTGTGGTGGCATGAAGTACATTCACATTGTTGTGCAGCCATCCCCACCATCCACCTTCAGAACATTTTTATTTTCCCCACCTGAAACTCTGTACCCAGTACACTAATTCCCCATTCTTCCCTCCATGAACTTCATTTCCTTTATCTGTAAAACAGGTACTCATGTCTACTTAATTAGGATTGTTGTTGGGGAGACTGGATTATAGGGATGTAAAGCATGGTGCTTGGCTGAAATCTTATTTTCCGTCCTTTTCCTTGTGAGTACATCACAAAGATTCCTAAGTGGATACAGGATTTCTCAATGCTCACTAACCTGAATAAAAAGAGCATATGTTTTATTGTTCTAATTTTTAGTATATGTGCTGCCAACATGAACACAAAGAAGATATATTTTATAAGCAAGAAGCAACTGAGAATATGTATATTTAAAGTGTATTTGTGAGAGAGAGAGTGTGTGCACAAGTGAGGAGGGGCAGAGAGAGAGAGAATCCCAAGCAGGCTCCAAGCTGTCCCCACAGAGCCCGTGAAATCATGACCTGATCTGAAATCAAGAGTCGGACACTTCAATGGACCGACTGAGCCACCCAACTGTCCTGAAACTATGGAGTGAAGAAAAAATATGGTTTAGGGGCACCTGGGTGGCTCAGTCAATTGAGTGTTGGACTCTTGATTATGGCTCAGAACATGATCCGAGTGTTGTGGAATTGGCCTCCACTTTGGGCTCTGTGCTGAGTGTGGAGCTTGCTTAAGAATCATTCTCTCTCTCTCTCTCTTTCTCTGCCCCTCTCCCTGGCTCATGTTCTCTCTCTAAAATAAAAATTTTAAACACACTAAAAAAAAAAAAGGCTTTAGGGATTAAAATAAACCAGAACACACAGGGCTATTTTAGGATCAGTTTTAATCAATTGCCCTTGTTGTTTTGTTGGTATCTGATCTAGATTTCTTGTAAATGTAGACCCAATTTTGACTGTTGGCATTATTTTCCACGTATGTTTTGGTGTTTCATTTCCTCTCAATATTTACGTAGACTTTTTTTCTCTTATTACCCTGTCCAACTTCCTTGTTAAGAATTTATTGTTAATGTTTTTTGTTACTGTTTTAGAACTCTGATTTAGATATTTATTATAATGTGGAATAAGATTTTATAATAATCTCTATTTGTTTTAGTTGGGAAGGGAGGGAGGTGGGAGGTAGAATACCTAACCTGGAGAATTTATTTAGGATGATGTTTCTTGTAAGAGACTGACATAAAATTAATGATTGGCGCTTCTGTATTTTTTTTTTAATCTTTTTGAGTAAGAAGAATAGAGAGTTTTATATATTTTTACCCACGATCAGACAGCTTTTTAATGTAACAATTTCAGCCATGACTGTAGATTAGAACATACCTCTAGTTTTGGTGTTTGAGCCATTAATGCCACTAGAGTTCAGTAAGTAATTTGTTATGATTTTAAATATTTTTTAAAGCCTTGACAAATGTAATGGTGAAAAAGATGTGGTTCTTCCTGCAATAGCTTCGAATCTAATGGAGGAGAGGCAAGCCCTCATAAAAAGTGATGGTGACTAGAGGCATGGCTGAGAATGGGTGTGAGGAGGAGTGTGTGGGTGGTCAGGCCTTTGTACCAATGGATGTGGCAGAGGAAGAAGGAAGGAGTATAGAAAACATCTGGCACTTGGCTTAGGCACTTTGATGCTGTGAGTTAGGGACCATAGCAGAAGCAAGGGGTCAGTGTTGCTCATGTATCTGCAGGGCCAGGGTGTGGACAGAGGGTATGTCCAGGAAGTAACTGGCTTTGTGGCCTGGAATCAGAGACCGCAGTGAGAAATGCAGGGTCACATGAATGAGGGTCACATAGCAATAGCATAGAGACGAGGACAGTCTGTGCCTGGGATGGGAAGTCGGGAGTGCGCGCACATGTGAGAGGCAAGATACAGAATGTGTCCCTCGATGTGACTCTGGAGGTGCCTACCTCTGGGAAGTGGAATTGGGGGCCTAAGGAGCAAGGGGAGTGAGTATCTTGTGAACTTTGTACCGTGTTTGAGTATGACCTGTTACAAAAATAAGTGTTTAAGGACAGGCAGTGAGAGAGAAGTCTGAGGAAAATTAGTGGTCAGCAGTGTCAAATGATGAATCAGGGTCAAATGACATAAAGACAAAAGTTGCTATTGGCTTTAACGACAAAGAGCTTCAGCTGTCCTTGAAGTGTGTGGGGGGCAAGAGGAAGAGAATTGAGGTTGTTGCAGATTAATATTTTTAGCCCCAAATGTCACTGATAGGTTGTGTGTTTGGGAGACGGAAGTTTGGGAAGGGGCCTAATTTGAAGTTTACTATTTCTGTTATACAAAACATTCCAAATTTAAGTTGAATATTAGAGCTGGAATGAACCCCCAGAGGAAGGGGTGCCCCTCCACAGGTTAGCAGGACCTGCCTCTCTGGTCTGGCTCCCTCCCCTAGCAGCTGTATGGCCTTGGGCAAGTTACCCACCTCCTTTGTGCCTCAGTTTCATTGTGGACAACAGTTGTATACTCTATACCTGTTGATGAGAATTATTGTATTTGATGAAGTGCTCAGAACAATGCCTCAGGTAGTATTGTTCAGTAAAAGTTAATTATTACTTTATTATTCAAGCCACCGTTCTTTCCAATATATTATAGCCATGATGGCCTTCTAGAATTTTTTTCTTCAAAAAAGCCTTAGCCCTTCAATCCAGTTCACCGCTTTTTATTATTTATACCATCTCTTCCTAGACTCATTGACAGGTTTGATCGAGACAGACCACTGAGAGGCCGTGGAGGCCCAAGGGGGGCCATGCGAAGCCGAGGCAGAGGCGGCCCTGGGAACAGAGCTTTTGACGGTTTTGACCAGAGAGGGAAACGCGATTTTGAGAGGTATGGTGGGAGAGAAAATGTTAGGTTCCTCTGTAACTGCTGTTTTTGCTTTATGGTCTTGGTAATACATGATATGAGTCAGTTTGTTATGTGTTAATATTAATTGACTTTATATTAGTATGCACTTATTCCCAAGGGAGCTGATCCTGGGACAGCTTTTCTGATCAACTTTTTTGGTTTGGAGATTGACTGGAGACCAGCTTTCAGCCTAAGGGAACATTCTTTCTTTCTCTAGAGCAATCAGAACTGAAGACAACATGGGTGGATGTGGAATTCGAACCTGGGGATCAGGTAAAGACACCAGGTACGGTGCAAATGTGTGCGTTTTATGAACCTGCAGTTAAGTGGAAATATCCAGATCTTTATTTTCCTTCTGTGAAAATTATGTCTTCTCTGCTGTGCTTGCAGTGTCTTTATACTTGTGTGCCATTAGGTAGAGATTGATTTTAGGCTTTTGTTTAGTGAGATAGCTTTTTAAAGCATGTTTGCTATGTTGCAGGTAGATTTGAAAAGGACTTTTAAGGTAGTTTTTAAGTTCTTTTAGTTTAGCCAAACAAATTTGCATATTTGCTGATGCCCTAGCACATGATACTCTCCATTTGCATAGGCCTCAGAATGCATTTTAAATTTCAGGCCCTTCTATACTTTTCTATGACCTTCCCAAGTTCGTATATACATTGCATCTTGATTTTATGAAATCATTTGCAGGTTGAAGCTCAGTGACAAGTTTCACCGAAGGTTCAAATCTGACATTCCTCTGAGGCTTCATCTGTATCTAAGATCTGTGCCAGTTTTGCTACATAGAAGTACTTGGTTCTGCTGTTTCAGTTGTTTCGTTGCCTTCCTGGTGTCTGCAAAGAATAGGCAGGAAGACTTGAGGGCAGTACACGGCAAGGAATGGATCCCTCCCAGCGCACGTTGTAGGGAAGGCTTTCCACAATTTTGAAGGCTTGAGGGAATCCAGAGATAAGCTTTTTACATAAACTTACTTTTCCTTTATTCTTTCCTTTTTTTTTTTTTTTTTACTTTTTTTAAACTTTATGTATGTTTTTTGAGAAAGCATGAGTGGGGGAGGCAGAAGGAGAGGGGGAGAGAGAGAATCCAAGCAGGCTCCACACCTTCACACAGAGCCCGATGCAGGGGTTGAACTCAAAAACTATGATATCATGACCTGAGCCAGAATCAAGAGTCTGGACAGTTAACTGACTGAGCCACCTTGGTGCCCCCATAAACTTATTTTTCTGAAATTGTTGTCCTTAAAGACAAACACAAAACAATACTAAATATAATATTACATGTGCTACCATTGCACATCTGTGTTGTCCTTGAAAGGAAAAGAAACTTGTTGAATGTTTCTCAGTGTGGAGTTTCATAGGCTGTTAATTATGAATCCTTTAGTTTTGTTTTATTTTACGTTGATAATATATATTTTAAAAAGTAATACCTCTGAGCCATCTGATTTACTACCTTATCTACTGCCACCACTCCATTTCAGTTTGCATTGGAACTTAAAGTAATTTTGGCGTTGAGTGATTATGTACCCAGAGGGATTAGCATTGGCCCTTTAACATGAAGAATAACCAGGAGCCAGGTGTGCTATGGGTGGCCTGGCATGTCCTTGTGCTAAAATGACACATGTCATGTAATTTTGGATTGGTTTATGAGTTATTAAGTCAAAGCTCTGAAGTGGTAATAGTTTGTAACTTAAAAGATTGTCATAGAATAAGACTTGAATTTCTTATCTAATAAGTGCAGATTTTTATTTTGGTCATGAAAACAGTATAGTACACTGGAGTTATGGGCTGCTTTTGATTAATAAGAAAAGAGCAGAGGTGAGCCTACCATAGCAAGGCTGTTAATGGCTGGTGAGGCCAAACACTGTATGGTGTGTTAAAAGCTGGACAGTTTTGCTTTTAGTTAGTATTGCTGTTTGAAGGCATTGGCAGCGCTAACTAAATCTATGGACCATAGGAGAGGGGAAGGGGGAAAAACAGTTGGGGGAGAGGGAGGGAGGCAAACCATGAGAGACTCTTGAATACTGAGAACAAACTGAGGACTGATGGGGGGAGGGGAAGGGGGTTGTTGGCATGGGGAAGGGCACTTGTTGGGATTAGCACTGGGTGTTATATGGAAACCAACTTGACAATAAACTATATTAAAAATATATATCAGAAAAAAAAAAAACAACCAAAATGGTGTGATGACCCATTTCCACTGTTAATGCTTCTCTTTAGCAGTTTGACAGTAAGTACCTGAAAGCAGAGTTTTCCCCATCTGTGGTAATTAAAAAATGTAATATAATATCAGATATTATTTCTTTTTTTTTTTTTTAAATATTTTTATTTATTTCTTGGAGAGAGAGAGAGAGACAGCGTGAACAGGGGAGGGTCAGAGAGAGAGGGAGACACAGACTCTGAAATAGGCTCCAGGCTCCGAGCTGGCACTCAGCACAGAGCCCGAAGCGGGGCTCGAACCCACGAACCGTGAGATCATGACCTAAGCGAAAGTCGAACGCTTAACCGACTAAGCCACCCAGGCTATTTCTTTGTTACCAACTGAAACACACCCACAAAAGCAGTTTTCAGTAATGGTGCCTTCCAACTTTTATTTCAAAGAGCAAGATGGTTTTATTAACATTTGATTAAAATCTCTTCACTGTCATAGATTTGGGTAAGTGTGAAGTCTCATTGAATTTGAACTAGATAACAAAGCCTTCAGGTGTTCAGCTCACTTTGTGGAACGTCCTTGTTCAAACAGGCGTTTTCTGCATTCATATAACTGAAGTCAAAATATATACATCTGCCCTGGGGCTGTATCTTTCTTCTGTAAATCTAACATTGGTGATTTACTTTCAACAAAATAACAAAATCTGCTAACATAAATTGTTGCTAATTTTGAAACCTCATTGCTCTGTAGTTTTGGTCACATGGTTCTGTAAGAGCCGTAGCACATTAGTTTTATGTTTATTCATTAAATAATGTAGGTCAACACAGGGAGATGTGTGATTTCTTATTTTTTTAATCAGCTGCTCAAGTTTAAGAAATGGTAGTGTTTATACACAGTCAGTCCCTTTTGTGATTTTTAATTGTTGAAAGCTATCAACTATCAATAAATCTATGGTTTTTATTCCCTTGGTTTATTATATTGCCACCAGAGTAAAGAGAAAGTTGGAATAATTTGTGTTGCTGCTGCTGGATTTTGAGGCTCCTGGATGCCAGAAACTACCATGACTCAGCTGGGGTCGGGCTGGTGAGCAGAGGCAGCCTTTGGGATGGGGCCTCTGCCAAGCAGAGTGGGCAGCCATGTCCTCCACACACAGGGTGCATTTGATTTAGGACCTTTTTTTAACAGTAAAGATGAATAATTTTTTGGGGTGCCTGGCTAGGTCAGTCAATAGAACATCTTAGGATTGTGAGTTCGACCCCCACATTGGGTATAGAGAATATAAAAGGAAATTAACTTAAAAAATTAATCAAATTTTTTATGTATCGAAAAACTCACATTACAATAGCTTTGCGTTGAGAATTAAAAAATGTAGGGACGCCTGGGTGACTCAGTTGGTTAAGTGTCCAACTTTGGCTCAGGTCATGATCTTGTGGTCTGTGGATTTGGGCCCCACGTCGGGCTCAGTGCTAACAGCTCAAAGCCTGGAGCCTGCTTCAGATTCTGTGTCTTTTTCTTTCTGCCCCTCCCCTGCTTGCACTCTGTCTGTCTTTCAAAAGTAAATAAGCATTTTTTAAAAATGTAAAAGTCAATTCTGTTATTACAGATCAATTTATCTTTGCTTTTTAAAAAATAGCTTATGTTGGGCCCCTGGGTAGCTCAGTCGGTTAAGTGTCCCGCTTCAGCTCAGGTCATGATCTCACAGTTTATGGGTTCAAGCCCCGCATCAGGCTCTGTGCTGACAGCTCCACGTGTGGAGCCTGTTTTGGATTCTGTGTTTCCCTCTCTCTCTGCCCCTCCCCCATTCACTCCGTCTCTCTCTCTCTCTCTCAAACTATTTTCTTTGAGACTATTTTTCCTCTTCCTTTCCCCTGTTAAGGTTCTCAAGTTCCACATATGAGTGAAAACATATGATATCTGTCTTTTCTGTGACTGACTTATTTCACCTAGTATAATACCCTCCAGTTCCATCCATGTTGTTGCAAATGGCAGGAAAAAGATTTCATTCTTTTTCATTGCCAAGTAGTATTCCATTGTATATATAAATCACATCTTCTTTATCCATTCATCAGTTGACAGACATTTGGGCGCTTTCCATAATTTGGCTGTTGTTGAAAGTACTGCTATAAAGATTGGGGTACATGTGCCCCTAGGAGTCAGCACTCCTGTATCCGTTGGATGAATTCCAGTAGCACTATTGCTGTGTTATAGGGTAGTTCGATTTTTTAATTTATTAAGGAACCTCCACACTGTTTTTCAGGGCGGCTGCACCAGTTTGCATTCCCACCAACAGTGTAAGAGAGTTCCTGTTTCTCCACATCCTCACCAACATCTGTTGTTTCCTGAGTTGTTAATTTTAGCCACTCTGACTGGTGTGAGGTGCTATCTCAGTGTGGTTTTGATTTGTATTTCCTGATGCTTAGTGATGTTGAACATCTTTATGTGTCTGTTGGCCGCCTTCTTTGGAAAAGTGTCTATTCATGTCTTTCTAGTGAAGAAATAGCCCATTTCTTCACTATATTATTTGTTTTTCAGGTGTTGAGTTTGGTAAGTTCTTTATAGATTTTGGATACTAACCCTTTATTCCAATATGTCATTTGCAAATATCTTCTCCCATTCTGCCAGTTGCCTTTTAGTTTTGTTGATTGTTTCCTTTGCTGTGCAGAAGCTTTTTATCTTGATTAGGTCCCAGTAGTTCATTTTTGCTTTTATTTTCCTTGCCTTTGGAGACATGTTGAGCAAGAAATTGCTGCAGCTGAGGTCAGAAAGGTTGTTGCCTGTTTTCTGCTCTAGGATTTTGATGGTTTTCTGTCTCACATTTAGGTCTTTTCATTCATTTTGAGTTTATTTTTGTGTATGATGTAAGTGGCCCAAGTTCATTCTTCTGCATATTGCTGTCCAGTTCTCCCGGTACCATTTGCTAAAGAGATTGTCTTTTTTCCACTGGGTACTCTTTGCTGCTTTGTCAGAGATTAGTTGGCCATATATTTGTGGGTCCAAGTCAATGTTCTCTATTCTGTTTTGTTGGTCTATATGTCTGTTCTTGTGCTGGTACCATACTATCTTGATGATTACAGCTTTGTAATAGAGGCTAAAGTCCAGGATTGTGACGCCTTGGTTTTCTTTTTCAACATAACTGGT